ATTGCCCAAATGACAATGAAATGCATAAAGCCACATATGAACTACTGCTTCCAAGACGCGAGGTTTGCATGGAATCGTGACTGATGACGCAAAATAAATCTTTTACAACAATCCCAGACTTAAAATCCCTGGGCGCATGACCAACCATCAATATAAATGTTTAAACTCAATATCCACGCCGTGCGCCAAGTGCGACCAAAAATGAATGGTGTACTATGATTCCCTAAAAGCATCTGCTATAGTTGAGTGATATCCACAAGAGTTAATCAGTTTTAGTCAGGCATTAAACACCAAAGTTCCGAATGTGATGAAAGACGTGTTAAGATGATCTCGCAATAGGACATCTCTAGGCCGCATGTTGCACTGAGAGAGGAAGAAACTTGTAAGCATGTTGTTGAGAAGCCCTCTCCCACTCGCTACTTTCTCTCCCAAATGCTCCATCAGGCCATGATTCGTTCCAGTCTATGAAAATAGCCTTGCTGAGCAGAGCTTTAGTTCCTATGCAGAAGTCAAAAAGTGAGTGGATTAATTGACTGATTCGGAAGATCAGCATTTTCTTATGGCAGGACCTATTTTTACCAACGAGGTGAAAAAAGTTATAGCTGCCAACAAATAATGTCCTGAATAAAACGTTATGCGTATTTTCCTTTAAATAATTTCTTAAGAAGTGGCATGAATTAAGTCTTAATCATGACAGAAGAGAAATTCACAAAAATGAGAAGACCAATTGGCAAAGTCGAAACTGTCAGGCAGTTCACAATTTACGTTGATGGCGGTGGTCTCAATTTGGAATAAGTTATAAATAATTATGAAATGCCACTTCTTAAAAATAAAGAAATATGCTTTAAGACACTGATTTTAGACAACCAGCTTGATTAGTCTAATTCCTCACATCCACTCTGCAGACAATTATTATAAACAGAAAATGAATGAGCATCAAAGTTCGCACGAGCCTATGTGAGTGAGAACGCCTGCCGAATGCATGTAAAAGAGACAGAGATAGAAGGAATGAGTCTATCGAATTGAAATTTAAAACAAGAATGGAATTCAGTGGTGACCAAAGAATACAACATGGACCAAAACGTTTTTGAGATAAATCGTAGGATAATGCCTTCGTTCAAACACTATCCCATTCGGTAGAGGGCGCTTACCGATCGTTCTTACGGAACTCACTCGTTCCGTTGTGCCTTCTGGCTCTCTGTCTCGAGCCCAACCAGCTACCGCACAGCGGCGCATGATATAGGCAGATTGGCATAACATATGTTGGACTTCTAACTAACAGGTCGCGAGTTCGAGCCTCAAGTGTTCCACACTTCGGGGTTGGGTAGGACTGGCTGACGACGACTAATAGACCAGAAATGGCTCTTCCAGTTTCCCTTGTCTCTGTCGTTTATGTCATACTACTCCATTTGTCATTTGCGTAACATAATAAGTTCAGTCACAAACGATGACTTAATGGGCTCGAGAAACTTTAAGTTCATACCCTGAGACAATAAGCGAAGGAGAAGTCTGCTGGAGCGCAAAGGATATGGGCATGAAAAGAGATGCTCTCAGGCCGTGGCATAGAATTTGATGGACTGTCAACCTAGTCGAACTATGCAAGTGCTTTTACGTCGGACCCATATGACAAACAAAACGATAATTTAAAACCACTAAAAGTGGACTAATACAAATTCACTATTTACGTTGCACATGGAGCGGCGTTGTTCCTCAAAAGGACTACCATTTTCTCTCTCCCAGTATAATGCCTGGAAGAAGTAAAAAATGTAGAATTGCGCAGAATGATAATAAATGAATTTGAGTGGTACAAGAAGACGTACAATGAACCACAATGCAAAAAACGATTGTTCGGCAAATTGGGTGTAAGTATGAACAGCTATTAGAATAGCTGCCTATGTTAAAGGAGCCGACTAATTAACACAAACCAGTGTAGCTAATTGCGTGGTCCTACTTTTTATGACAGTTGGTGAAGGTTTATCATTAAAAAATAAAAGTGCATTCAGCAGACGCTAAGAATGTTCACGCTATGGTTGCGTGAACGGCCACGAATACAGACACAAAAATAGCCTCTCCTAAACTAATTTGTCAGTAAACGACTTCTTTTTCAAAGTAGTTTGCAATTATGAAACTTTTCAAGGAGGTGAGCTGTTCACATAGATAGCATCGCGTGCATCCGTTTATTAATGCTGCTTATTAGGTATGGACAATATTCAGCATCTATTGCAAAATGTTATGAATTTTATCTGCTATCTTCGGAACGACATAGATGTATGTGTGATTTTCACATACGTAGAAAGTCTACTGGCTGGACCCTGTAAACCCCATAAACAAGTGCAACGGCAGATCTTGTTCAAAATTATTCAAGAAATTTGGTCAGATCGTGGTTTGATGCCAGGAATGGGGAGGCGGACAGCCATGTCCCTGTCGTACGGGAATGGTGGGAAATGGGGTTATATGGGTGGGGTAAATGGAAGGGCTGTTAGAGGAATGCTGGAGTTTCTGGATAAAAATGATGGTTCCAGGGAAAGTGCTGGGAAGTATTAAATAGGTGGAATAATGGCAGAAATTTAAACCCTACGGATAACCATAAAATGCAACCCCGACCGCAACCATAAAGAATAGCCGTAAACGTCAAAACCGAAACTTTACCAAAATCCCAAAACCCAACTCTAACCGAAAACGTAGACATAAACCTAACCATAACCTCAACCCTAACCCCAACCTTACGCCTAATCCTAGCACTAGCCTTAACCTTAACCTTAAGTTTAGGCCAAACCTTAACCCTAACCTTTACCACAGCCCTAACGGAAACCTCAACCCTAACCTTAACACTGAAACCTGACCCTAAAACGCAAACCCTAATCCTAAAACTTAGCCCACTTTTAACCCTGACCCTCACTAAACCCAACAGTCTGACAGAAACGGGCGACCGGTCTAACTCAATAAGAGCAGACCTACTGATAACAAGTTGCCTAGACAAGGTAAGCACACCTACTGATAACATGTACGCACATCGACCGTATCAAAGTATAATGTCTGGCTACCAACTGCGATCTTACCGAGAATTGAAATCTGGAGAAGACCTGAAAAACCTATGTTCTTAAAGAGGATAAAAAGCCCAGTGCTATGTTTCTTCATGCCCTTCCAGAGAAATGACTACTTTTAGCATTTGGTTGCTGAAGCATTCTCAAAAGCAATCACAAATGACCTGTCACAATTATTTGCTGTCCATTTGCGAAGGCACCCATATTCACTGGACAAAAATCAGTCCTTAATGGGGCGCCGAGGTTGCTCTCAACAAAACTGCAAAATCTGATGAATGATTTCCTGGCTAACCTCCTCAGCACAACGTTTTCAAAAACAGTCAAGGCCTGCATCAACTTGCGAAAAACTTGTCGGTTAAGGTGGCCTGATACCTTCGAGGTTTGTATGCGTAGATTGCGGTCTCCTTGAAGATGAAGCATCGACTGAGTGAGGCAACTTCCTCTCTAAAAATCTCCCATTTAAAACTTGCGATAATCGGCAGTTGTTAGTGTCAGCTATGTGGCAAGCCGAAATCCCCACACTTCTACCTGCAATCAGGACAGGTCGATAAACAGCATGCCCATGTCGAGATCGTAACAACAATGTTGGTTTTTAGTTTGTCACACAGTCAGATGAAACCAAAGTCCCTGATAGACCAGCGGCTTGCTCGGTTAAATTGTATCTTCTGATCAGCCTGTTGGATACGGCTCCAGGCAAGAAGGGTACTGAGTCGGCTATTGCTGTCGTCAAGCCCATATAAGCCTTCTAGTTTATAATGAAGTTAAAGAGCAATAAATCTGGTAAATTATTAATTGGCCTTACCAAAGGTTCAGATAGCAGAAATATTGGTATGTGAAAAATAGAAGAGGTTCTTCGGAAAAGTCGAGTTGTACTCGTGAATTTTCGAGCTGGTGACACTAACCCGTCGTCAGACGAAATGAAAACGAGGGAGAAAGTTATGTTGTCACAGTAGACCAGTTGGTGTGATGGAACAGAACAGACCACTGACGTGTGAGGGGGGAAATCACCCTCCTATCAAAGGGAATAGGATTTAATCATGCGGGTGCCACACCTACCGACTTCCTAGCTGGGCTTGAGTCCATTCTACTGGCCTCCAAATTTCCGGAAGACATGCGCGCAAACACACGAAGCTGCGCCACCGGTATTCCCCGGCAAAAAGATACCAACAAAATCTACCGGCCGAAGAAGCGCAGGCATTACGATCATTGAAGTTTGATCACAGTATTGTCGTTGTTCCCGCAGACAAGGGTGGCGCTACTGTCATCATGGACAAAGTTGAATACGTTAACAAGGCGAATGAAATCTTCAGTGACATGGAGGCCTATACCCTTCTTGGTGAAGATCCGACTAAAAAGCAAGCCGCAGCCATCAAAAAGAAGGGTAATGAGCTCGTTCGTTTGAAAGTTATCAGTCCAGATGACTCCAGATTGATGACCCTCAGTGATCCCCACATCGCACACGCGTATGGCCTCCCGAAAGTGCATAAAGTGGATGTCCCCTGAGGATTATAGTGCCAATTATCGCATCACCCACTTACAATATGGCTAAGTGGTTATACAGTCGTCTGAAGCGGCTCACTCAAGGATCGGACTACAGCATTAACAACTCTCAAGCGTTCCTCCGCAGGGTACAAGGCCTCAAAGTAAGTACCGATGAATGCTCCCTGTCCTTTAACGTCGTTGCCTTGTTTTCTTCCATACAACACGATTTGGCGATTAAATGCGCAACCCAACGCCTACAGAACAATCTTATTGAGATCCCAACGCAGCATGTTATAGAACTGCTAAATCTTTGCCTTAGGAACTATTGTCAATTTGATAATAATTACCAGCAACAGGTAAATGGAACCCCGATGGGCTCACCAATATCAGAACTGCTCGCCGAACTAGTTTTGCAGCGACTAGAAGAGATAATTTTTCAAACTATCAAGCCTAAACTATGGCTTCGTTTTGTTGATGACACCTTTTGTCATAATAAAGAAGTGCGAAGTCGAACGTCTTCACCAGAGACTGAATGACGTCTTCCCAGCCATACAGTTTACCCGCGAGGAGGCAATTGGAGACAGCTTGCCGTTTCTGGACGTGAGGATACAGAAGTTGAGCGATGGTAGCCTGGCAACAAGCGTCCATAGGAAAGACTCTAACTCTGAGATTATCCTCAACTATGGAAGCAACCACCCCGCAGCTCACAAAAGAAGCTGCGTCCGAACTCTGTTTAGCCGAGCCCACCGTTACTGTAACAGCAACGATCTCCTGAACAAAGAGCTTGCTCACCTGTATCAGTTATTCCGCTCTAACGGATATCCGATCAGTTTTGTAAAGAACTGTCTCAGGCACCAGACACAGTCGCAAGACCCCACCCCCAACGGAGAGATTGTGACGCGAAAATTCTACTCCTTGCCATATATGCGTGGAACTTCCGAAATAATCGCCCGGCAGTTCAGCCGCTTGGGTATTCACGTTGCCCACAAACCGGCATTTTCACTACGCGCAGCACTAGCTCGAGGGAAGGATCCCATCCCCAAAGAGCAACAAACGAATGTAATTTATCGCATCCCGTGTGCCAATTGTTCTTGCGTGTATGTTGGCCATACAGATCGATGTCTGGGCACCCGTATCAACGAACACAAACTAGCTATCCGTCGGCGAGACCCCCTGTCCCTCGTCTTTGCCCATGCACTCGCGTACGACAACCGATTCAATTGGGGTAGCACTGAGGTCGTCGCCATGGCTAACACAAAGCGAGCGAGGGAATTTCTCGAGGCTTGGTACTCCAATGCAGGTAGTATCAAGCGCCACGTTGACGTAGATGCCCATTACGAGGGTTTACGTTCACGAATGACTGCCCCCTGCCCTAATCACGCATCAACGACCGCGAATACAGCCGCCGCATTCCAACTGCTTCACCACCCGCCCTCCCCCTCCAGCACGGTGTGCCGTAATTGTTCCGCCTCCTCTCCCTTCCCCGCCCCTCACTCAGTGACCTACCATGACCTCGGGAGCCCACCCCCACTCACACTTCAGTGGTCTGTTCTGTCCTATCACACTAACTGGTCTACTGTGACAACATAACTTTCTCCCTCGTTTTCATTTCGTCTGACGACGGGTAGGTGTCACCAGCTCGAAAATTCACGAGTACAACTCGACTTTTCCGAAGAACCTCTTCTATTTTTCATTATATCAACTTGGAATGCATACCCCCTCTGAGCTACATTCTGATATGTATCGTATGGCACTAAATGTTACACCAAGTAAATACGTAGCCCATGTTTCCTTCCACTATTTTGTAGTTGATTTCCTATCTTATGCAAAGTTAGCCGAAATTTTGCGGCATTTCCAATTTTAAAGGGTTGTATAGCTAGCGTTGTCACATTAATCATCATTTAGCTTTACCCCAAACCATTTCAGTCATGGCAGAATGCCAACTGTCAAATGAGCTTCCTGTCGTCCGTCTACATAAGCTGTATTTTCTAAAAAAAGTGACTACTTAATTAGTACGAATTTTTTATTATGGATTTTCGATGTCCTTATCAATTCATATACAGTTCATAGAAAACACGCATAAAAATATTATTTCTCTTACTCATGTGATAGCAAATTACGTCTTTTCAAAGTTTTTCTTGAAGATAGTGTATCATTTGATTTTAAAAACTTCCAGTGCCTGCATGATATTGAGCCTATCCTACTGTTGCACTTGCGTTCAGAGTTTGCAAACTGCAATCCGCATAGTTTTCGTGTAAGAAGTATGCTGCCACCAAAGTGTCACATAGGGTCCTCGAAATTTTGTAATGGACATCGGCCATGTTGTCCGTCTTAAAAAGAGCATTAATTTACATGCCGGCGCGATGCTGTGTGAGTGGACACCTCGCGGTCTTAACAAACCTCGCGATTAGAGATTTGTTTAAAATCGGAAGAAGCTCTTTTTTCCGGCAGAAAATTTAAATATGTAATTTTCTGATAAACGCATACAAGAAAGTATATTTTTCTGCATGTTTTCGATAAAATACACTTGAATTTACAACGACATCAAAAATAACGTGAAAAATTCGCACCACTTAAGTAGTCATTTTTACAGAATTTGGTTTTTGTAGTCTGTCGAAAAGGGGTTCCTCCGAAAGCCGGCTTCCTGACGTGCCTACAATAACTAAGGATTGCACTACACGAAAGTTACTATTGCACCCCAATGTAAGTAGTCTTTTGAATTATTCTGATGCCCGGTACTGTGAACTTGTCCACTACGGTAACGAGTTTAGATATAAAAATGGCCGAGTATGATTAATTTTAGGATACACCGATAAGCTCGTTTCCATGGGGTGTGATTATGTAAACTCGATTTCCGTCCAGAGAGAAACTCTTACAGCCTGCTCTTTGCTTCGCCTAACTGTAAACTGAGTTCAAGTAGGAGTATCACCGATGTGTTAAACCCCCCTTTAACGGCGATTTACTGAAGTGCAATTTCACTCGAACTGTGGTTGCTAAGGCGATAGTTAAAGTGGATTTTTTTAAGTTGTACTGTGGCCTCAGCAATCATGAACTTGCACGAATGGCCCAGTTGGCAAGCATAAGTGCATTTTGCAGGGTTTTTTTTCAAGTGCAGGCAACTAGGTCAACCGGGGAACACTTCACGCACCGCACACAAGCAGTTTAAATTTACTGCCTTTTACCATTATAACAAAAACGCACTTTACGGTCAGTTGTCTTCAGTAACGAATTGTCCGTGCAAACTTCAATGCAGGTAGTTTGATGCCGACAGAAATTGTCGCACTGCCAAGGCACTAGCCAGCCACATACGCAGCGTCTGCACAGCCGCCTGAGAACATCAAAGCACTGAACTTCGGCCATTCTGCAGGCGATTCCCTTAGGTATTTGCTCATTTTGAGTCCTATTATTCTGGCATGGAAAGACACATAAATTAGAGCCGCATCGTATTCAATGAATGTTCACTTAAGCCCATATTTCGTAACAATTCTTTGTCCCCTCCCATACTATGGTCCCAGATCGAAGACGAAAGTATGGAGAAGGACTACAGGGAGTCTCGCGTCAAATTTAAGAGGGATTCTTATTCCCGTATCCTAACTTTAGCCCTCCAGGCTCTAACCCTAGCCGTCCTATCTTCCTGTGCCCAACGCGACCCCAACTCCATAAAAAAGTTATTTCAATGACATCGGCTTCGCGGTTAACAAAAACTCATCCGGTGATCATTAGACGACTCGACATCGGAGATTTTGCTGTAATTGAAAGGAAGAAACCCCAGACTTTTATAAGCCGCACTACTTACATTCCTTCAGAAAGTAAATGCTGCCAATTATTGTGGGCATGTGGTCGCTGGGCAACTGCACCCTACGAACACTGCGCTCCCTATGCCTCTGAAGATTGGGTTGAATGGGAATCCGAAACGCCCGAACAATAAACCCCTTGTTCCAGCAATTGTTGGCCGAGAGAGATAAGGGGGAGATGCGCTTTATTTTGAAAGCATCGTTTCAAAATTTTCAGCAAAAAAGATCTCAATTCACAGTGGATAATAATGGGTACGAAAAGCAGGTAACATCTGGAGATTACAAGCAATATCTATTGGTTGAAAACTGCAACTGTCAACATCATAAAGAATTTCCGGCGAAGGAGTTGAAAAATTCGCGTCAGCTCACACTTCCTTCAAAACGGTGCTAGCGTAGTGTGCAGATGAGCCCATTGTTGCAGTTCAGACAAAGGGGAACAAGCCAGTGTATAATAAATAGACCAACAGCAGTGCACATGAGGAAATTCCCATGCGGATGGAGAGCCGAGCGGCTCAATTTCAGAAGCCGCAATCACATCTTCTCAGCTGCCTCTCGGGACTCGCCTATTCGTTTCTATCAACTCTCCAGACCTGTTTATAATCTCATATGAATAAACCGACCGGGGAGGGAGGAGGGCGAACACCATGGCTGTGTCCGGCCGTCTGTTCAAAACACGCTTTAGCGTCTACGCAAACAGTGAGCAACAACAGCGTGCTTATGCACATACAACATGATGGAACTTCCGGCCCCTGAAGTTTGCATTATCTGCGAAGTGTATACCGACAAATACACGGGGTGCTGGGGTGGCCATTAGTGGTGCATTCGCTGTAATCAAATATCAATGCCCCAAACCCGTGCTTCAAAGCCGAGGGTCAAACGCCAAGTCAGTTGGTCACCGTGCAACGCTCTGAACACCGCCCTAACGGGCTCGGGAGTATTTAATCCCATGCTAGTGGCACAAAATGATCCATTCTACTTGCAGAACGCATTTGCGGTTTGCCTTGGGTTTACCAGCACAGGCGGGTGGTCACATGACGACTAACCGTGCCCTGGATGATTGCGCTACGCGTTTCCAGATTATGCACTGCGATGGATGATGGACACGTTCGATAAATTAGAGTGGTTAATTGACCTTTTCAAATGTGTCTGTCTACAAACGGGCTTAAGGTCTCATTGGCTACTCGTTGGGTGGTCCATTTTTAATACGAATGCATACTCTAATGCATCTCGGTACACAAACTGAGGGCGCCGAGTAGTAACACCTCCAATCAGTAATTCTTAATTACATACGCGGTTTCTGTCATGGACCGAATATGTCTATTTGTACCTATCAAGATCACAGAAACGGCTGGAAGAATACATCAAGGCTACTTGATAATTTTGCTTTTATGAAAGGCAGAATTTCCTACTAGAAACGGACTTTATCGCTTCTTCGACATCACTCCTCGTCGTAACCGTAAGACAGTGATATTTAATGCGTCTCTTCATGGACGCTATGGACCTGCAGATGGAAATCGAACAGTCTTGTCGAATTTTCCCACGTCAATAAACCTTGCCTCCATTTCAAATTATCTGATTCTATCAGAAAATAGAATGACTGAAACCAATGCGAGGATTGCGGACGAGAACTTTTGGTAAGCAAGGCGTTTTTAAATTCCGCCAGCCGCCTACTAGAATGCATACCGATGTACATTTCGGCTCTAATAACTGCGTTGGGGTACTGAAGACGACAACAGAGACCTGGGTGACCACTTTTGGCTTATTAGTCGTTGTCAGTTCGCTTCAGACAACTTCCGGTTTACAGGACCTTCGATTCGAAACCGCGCTGTCCGGTCACCAAGTGTTGTCAATATCAACGTCCCACCATTCAGCCGTGGGCTAGTTCTACCGTCGGCGCGCAACAGAACTACCATCTCCCGCGACCGCATCGGTGAACGCACCTTCAGTACGGATACTCCTATGTGTCCCGGCTACTTTTGGAAGCCGGTTAATTAGCCATTATCTCAGTACGACATTTCAGTAAAAAAAAACCTCTTAAAAGGGATGCAACACATGACTGATATTGTACCCAATGGGAGGCAGTAAACCACCTGTGTGATAATGACCACGCGTCCCCACTGCAAAAAACAACCTGTAATTTAGCAGTTAATGCGGTCTTGAAGGGTCAACAGGGTGCAGGAATATCGACCCCCTCCTCCGGCCCCGGGTACTGCAGGTGGCCTCGAGCTAGATTCCAGAAGGCCCTACGCCCCTGTTCAAACCGTAACCCCAAGCATAACTCTCCTAGTCCTTGGTAGGTGGCGTTCACCGATCGCTCTTACGGAACTCACTCGTTCCGTTGTGCCTTACGGGCTCTCTCTCGAGCCCAACCAGCAGCCGCACAGCGACGCATGATGCAGGCAGTATGTTATTGCCGCAAAGACAAGAGAGACTGGAGTGGCCATTTCTGGCTTATTAGCCGTCGTCAGCCAGTCATACCCAACCCCGACGTGTGGAACACCCGAGGCTCACACTCGCGACCTGTTAGTTCGAAGTCTAATGCTACTGGGCCACGAGCCCGTTGCCCTGTCGGTTTTCGATCAGGAATATACACAACCTACAGTACCGAGAGTCCGTATTCCCGTACCAAACCGAAAGGCCTGCTGCTAGTTTGACCTCAACATTAACTCAGCAACAAGTTCCCAATTCTTAAAATAACCAACTTTTGGAATTCACTTCCTAGATCACCGCAACCGCGGATTGACACTTGACCTCCAGTGAGACCCATGACCAAGGAAAAAAAGGTAACGGTTCTTT